GGTTGTTTTACATGTACCACAGGTTTTATAAAAAACAGCATTCTGCACAGGGAGGAAGCCAAAAAGCTGTCAGAGTGGCTTTTTCACAATAATCTGTCTCTTAACGTAAGCAATGTTCATATGATCAAATCAATTTAGAGATCTGGAAATTTAACCAAATTCCATCCTACCTGTTCAAGATAAAAATCACGATTTTACACACACACACACACACACACACACACACACACACACACACACACACACACACACACACACACACACACACACACACACACACACACACACACACACCTTATCTCAAAATCGATGTTGGCCTCATACGATTGGTATCCCTGCATTGGGAATGCTCCAAATTTAAAGCCCTGCTCCAGTAATCTTTTTGCTGGAGCGATGAGACGAGGCATCGCCATTGTTATCCGTAAAAAGTCCAGCATGCGTTTCCCATGGTAACCGTACATGTCTTCAGAATAAAGAAAATAACAACTTAGATTTCAAGTATTGGAAATCACATTGTAAGTATTAATAAATGTTTTGGAACAAGAATCAGAGGTATTTGTTCATAATCATTTGAACAAAGAACATCCAGGAGAAAATTAATTTACACATTAGAATAAGAATAGCACTTGTACTCACTCTCTTTGCGGGTGATGTCCACAGCCAACACTGTGACCGAGATGTTGTCCTTATTGGATCGCATGTCCTTTAAGACAACAGAGTTCAACTCTCTTTTAAAGTCACCCAGGGAATCAGATGTGAAACCTTTTGCAAAAGAAAGAAGAGAGGGATGATTCAACATTAATCATTTAATCACAAACAGCTGAAAATCACTCGGAAAGTCAACATGCCCAAATGACAGGAATGTGTTCTACATTTTTTAACAGCAACTGACAGACATCTATTGTTGTGATGAACTTTGTCATGAAATGTGTTCATGTCTTCACATCGTGTATTAACATAATATGAGTAATGAGAGTACTCACCACTTGGTGCCTGGACATAGAAATAAGGGGCAAAGCCGTGAACGTGGCAACACACACTGTTGCCGCTGTCCGTCACCCCAAACATGCGAATGATTGGAACATTTCCCTGTACCTGGCCAGGCATGCCAGCCACCGTGGCACCTGCATAACACAGAAGTGGAAACAACTTGCATACGGTTTCTTCTCAGGAATCAGGAACATTTATTACCAAAATATATCAGACATACAAGGAATTTGACTTGGTGGTTGATGCATAACATCAGACAGTAAGACAATGGACATCAAGACAGATAAGACAACATGGTGAGAGAACAAAATGGGGCAAGAGGAATTTAAATTAAAAATAAAAAGTTAAAAATAAAGTGCATATATATATATATATATATATATATATATATATATATATATATATATATATATAAAATACACAATCGTCTGTATGAAAATAACAAAGATCATTCTAAGCGATCATTAATAATTACCTAAATAATAGTCAAGATCAATCTGCTGAAACACCAATTTATCCGATGATGGGTTCAGTGGAGGGGCGGGAGGCCGCCTCCAACGGGGGTTAAGATCAGCTGAGAAGAGGTCACCTGAGGAAGAAAGGTATTAAGACGGTCATAAGACAATGTGCATTATTTTATAGCATAAATTACCGAGGAAATAACACAGTAAAATAACAGATTATTATTCTACCGGTAGCTAGGTTCTGCATAAAAATACGATGATAAATACGCTGTGCATGTTTAATAAAAGCACATGCATCCGTATGTGACGAATATAAATGACACCAGTCAACATTTTTGATAAAAGGGTTCACAAACATAGCTTAATAATTTTAATTTTTGTGTGCAATACTGACCTACGGGAATAACGTCATGGCCTGCTTGCCCCTCAATCTCCTCGGTCTCCATTTCTGCTTCATCAAACATGGACAATTCCTCTTCAAAACGCGATGGACTGTCTTCCCAGTCGTCATTCGTTTTACCCCGTTTGGCCTGGGTGGCACCAACCTTAAGCGGGCCACCATTGCGTCGCTTAAACTCCATGTCTTGAAGAAACAATCTGGGGGCAGAAACATGTTGGGGAATATCACCAAAAAGAAGGAGAAACCATTCTTATCTCAGTTGAGCAAACGCTGCATAACAAGCGGGATGCCACGCGGTTAGTAACGAGCACCAACAAATACGAGACTGCCCTCCATATCTAAAGTTAGCCCATTAGCCGTTAAGCGTTTGTTTCCTAACTGCACACAACTTGAGCGCTGCCAGTTAACGTTACGCTGCGTCTTTCAGTGACATTTTTCTTACGAAGCTGTAAATACCTGTGGAAGTAACTTCTTGACAAAAGACCCCCGTTTGACAACGGAGCGCGCCAATCTGCTTCAATGTGTGAGTCTTCACCCGGGAAAAGCGCGGAAGAGCTTCCGCTTTGTTGATAGGTCCCGCGGCAGAGGAACGGACAGTGACGACACGAACAGGGCGGAGACTCGGCGATAATAACACGGAAGTGGCGCGCGGCCAATCTTTACCCCAGCGGATGAGAGGGAAAACCCGGAAATGACGTCACAGCGTACGCAGCAGAGAGGAAATCAGAGAATGTGATTTCATTTTTTTAATTAACTAGATCCCCTCATAACAATTTCACAACCAAAACATTCCTTTTTTTTTGTTGAATTTGCAGCTTGGAAATATATATTCACTTTCTTAACAAGCAAATTATGTTTTAGGACTGCCTGCATTACTTCCTTATGATTATTTTAAGTTGTTTTATTGTTGCCAATAAGATGTTTACTGTTGATAATGTGATAATTACTATTACTACTAATGTGCTTGTTTATTTTGCCCTCTATATAGATTTCGGAAGTAATCATCTTACACACACACTTATCACATTAATATAGCCCATATTCTATGATTCTGGGTTATGATCATTCACTTGAAACTCAATTAAAAATGTTAAATCCCACAAATAAATTGATAGTCAAAAACAAATACACTGGATCCATGTGTGTCAGTGTATTTCAATAAAAGATTGTCCCAGGGTTTTCTTTCAGGGCCTCTGTACACAGATAAGCACACACAGTCAAAGGTCACAGTTCACAAATGCGTATATTCTCCCCTCTGCTAACACTGAGGCGGCCGTAGCCACTCAGCAACATGCAGGTTGTAGATACAACATCTAAATGCTCTCCTCCTCCTCTCCTGTGATTTTAATCATGCCTGATCCTTCTCAACGCCAACACCAAGGAAGCACCTCATCACTTCTCCTTCCAACAAGTAATGTGAAGAAGCTAACGACTGTGCAGAGTGAACTGAGGAAACGGATCAGGGAAGGGAAAAACTGATAGGATGAAAATGGAGGATCAGTTGAAGCAGAATAACATCAGTGAGGTCTGGAGGGGCCTCAAAACCATGCCTAGCCACAAGAAACCCAATTCCCAACCTGTTGGACACAATACGTGGATGAATGTTCTGAACACATTCTTCAACAGATTTGAGGATCGGTCATCCTCCCTTCCCCCTATCCAGTCCTCCCTGCTTCTGCAACCCTTATTGCCGGCAACTGTGTATTGCCCAACCCCCAACCCCCATCCCCCTTTCCACAACATTCAGCACCCTACCACCCTCAACAAACACTGCTCTTGTTCAAAGCACAGCCCCCAACACCAACCTTAAACACACAACCTCTACCCCCGTTTTGTCCTTTCACAATAACCAAGGCAAAGAAAGAACTGGAGAATATCAAGGCGAGAAAGGCTGCAGGGCCAGATGGTATCTGCTCAGTGCCTCTCCAGCTTCGTGGAATATTGAAGAACATCTTCAAACCACAGCTGTGTGAAAATGTCCTGTTTGGTGCCGGTGCCAAAGACAGCGCACCCCATGGCCCTAACCAAACGAAGGCCAGTGGAACCGACGTTAAACCTGATGAAGACCTTGGAAAAATTCATGTCAATCTCCGACCCCTGGAGAGCCCATCAATGGACCAACTTCAGATTGATTACTAACATGGCATCGGGGTGGATGACTCCGTCATCTACCTTCTACATAGATGCCTCTCTCAGTTGCTAAAGCTGGAAGCACTTCGGGAATCATGTTTTTTTTACACTGAGGGACAATTATGACCTGACCAGCCGTCCACAGTACGTGCGGACTTTGTGTCCTGCAGCACGGGGCCCCCAACAAACCTTTCTTGCTCCTTTTCCTCGTCACACTCTAGACAAGCATCTCGACTGCTAAGCAGTTTGAAGGAGAGATAGCGCAGGTCCTTCCTTCCTGCCACTGTTAGACCAACACTGCTCCCAAAAGACCACACAAAAAGGGACAATTCCTCATTAATTTATTCATTCACATGCAATATAAATCCAATGCAGCCTACTGTGCGATGTGAATATTCTGTTCAATCCATTGTGCAATATAACAACCAGTTTGTTTTTGCTGTTTTTTAAGGATTTATTAATGTTTTCATGTTTCTACCAATGACTCTGTTTGCACTATCCACCACGCTGCTGTCATTGTGCAAATTCCCCTGCTGTGGGACTTGTTTTATCTTATCTTAACCACAGACTTACCAATATATACCATGTGTTAAGGCTATTTGGGGATGGAAGGTTGTGGGGGGGTTAACAAATGGCACCCGGTGGAAAGGGTCAATGCATGACAGAACACAGAGATATGCAGAGGGTTGGGTGTCTTAATGTCACTGGTCACGAAGACATTATAAATAACTCCCCCCCCCCAACCTCCTCTTTGGAGAAAACGCATGCCTGGTTTCCCTCGACTCCCCTCTTTTGTATGGATGAAATAATATTTAACCAACTGCCATACAACCTCCGCGCAGCCTATTGCGTCCTTCGGCCGGGCTGAAAGGCCCAATTCCCCGTCACCAAGCGGAGGCCGGGGCCAGTAGCAACGAAGCTCATCAATAATGCAGTGGACACCTCACCAATCCCATCTCCTTCCTGCATGCGAGGCCCGGCCGTGGGCGTCTCCGTCCCCGCGATCTGACAGCCGAGGCACCGGACCAATGTGAAGGCTGTCAGCCTTAAATCCGCCTCCTTCTCCTCCCTCCCGGCTGCGTACATCTCGCCGGATTGACCGAGGCAGCCGCCAATGCGTTGCCCATCTTCGTGAAGTAGAGACATAACCGAAAGGTGAGTAGAAATCTTTGTCTTTTGTTTTTTTTCTCCCAAAATGGCGCTATTTTAAAATACTTCCTCGACGGACGGGCGCGCGCACCGGGACGCGCTGTCCTCTGTGCGCGAGCGCAGCTGCTGTAGGTGCTCGATGTCACGTTCGCTGCTCCGCTCACCGGGAAACGTGACGACAGCGTGCGTACGTGCCGGGAGGTTTGCGAGCTGTTGTTGTGTTGTTTTTTGGGTGGGGGTGTCCCGTTGTCCCGTTGTCGCCTGCAGCCGCTGCCCGAAGGCGACGTGCAGCGCGTGTCCCGTTGCCTCATTTGGGTCTTGTCCTCCCCGCAGACCCGAGGCCCTAGTGAGCCGTTCAAGTGGAAGTGTATGACATTTCTATCGGTGTGATGGTTGTTGCTGACTGTCCGCGCGTGCGTCAGAAGTTTATTATATCGCTCCCGTAAATTGATGTCCAACGGGTGAGGGGAGCGCCGCCCCCCCCCCCCCCCCCATCCGAAGGATGGTTTGGACCCCCAACGTGATCCTTTCCTTAAATGTCTTTGCAGAAAAAAACTTTCTCTCCTCTGAAAAAAGTATTTTTTACTTTTCTTGGCCATGTCTAGAAGTTTATTTGAGATGTTTTCACCACTCTGAATCCTTCAGAAGTTGAAATCCAGAAATCCAATCTAAGCAAGAACCCCACTACCGAGGCTCATCGGTTGTGGAATGGATTGTCGTGCAGGTGAAGGCGGTCTGTGTTTTAATACAGTGTTCTTGCACTGGTTGGTTTCCGTGGTTTTTACACACGTCTGACACAATTTCAACATTTCACAGCAGCATATCGGCTGGATCAAGTTTCTACCTGATTCGTGCCCACGTTATGTGCCTTGTTGCCTCCTCTCCCATGACACTCCCGCAGTTGTTCAGGACGTTGCAACATTTTTGCGAGCAGAAACCTAATGCAGAGTTGTATTTCCAGTGGATCTTACACTTTCAGTCAGCAGGAATGCACTCCTCATGCCAGGACGAATGGGAAGCTGGATAATTAAAGGCGTGTGAATCTTTTCTGCAGTTTAGGCTGCAAGTCGAATGCATTGACAGCCGTAATGGTCACTGTAACTCATATCTGGTGCATTAATTCAGTTTCACAGAGCAAACTTTTAACGTGTCTGTGTGTGTCAGACAGTTTGACCAATCGCTTTGACCAATCGCTTATCTAGCAATCAATGTACCTCTTAAGAGGTGTTTGTTTGTACTGACTTTCCCATAATAACAGCCAAAGGTTGGATTTCTAAAGTCACCAGAACATTTTAAATGTTTGAAACCCAGTATATTGCAAAGGGAGAACTTTAGTAATCAAACCTTTAAAAAATAATTGACGACAAATTCAAACCGGTTTACAGAGAGGATTTTTATCAAGGTAATATAATCGAGGGAGGCTGTGTTCACACCACGTCTTGTAATAGTTTTGCGAAATAGGATGTACGGTTGGTTGATGACAGACTTTCAAACGGTCACACTGTTGGACAATGTGCCATTTACGGTTTTCCTGATACTGTTCTCAGAGAATCTGGCAGACGCAATTTATGTTTTTGTATCACAAAGTCAACGTAAAAAAAATAATCTAAAATGGGTTTTGATGTAAAAAGCCTGGTTCCATTTGTCAATTGCTCACAAGTCACAATACCCTGTGGTAAACAAGTAGTACTATATAAGTCACGAGTGTCATGCACGGTGTACACACAGTGGAAAGGTGACCCTCTCTCAGCGGAGTGTGTTCTATGTTTACCCAGCATGCCGCTGGCTCGCAGCCTCTCCGTCACGTCCCTCTCGGGGATGGAGGATTGGGACGAGGAGTTTGAGTTGGAGGACGCAGTTCTTTTTGAAATTGCGTGGGAGGTCGCTAACAAAGGCAAGTGTGTGCGTGTGTGCGTGTGTGTGTGTGCAGGAATTCGGTCCTGACTTGAGTACATTTGTCTGCATTATTTTTAGTTTTTGAAAAGAAACTATTTCTGTAGGTAAATGTTGAAATACATGTTGCGCTTTTCAAGTCGCTTCAATAAAAAGCCTCAACTTAATAAATGTAATGTTATGAAAACAAAATTTGTAGTTTCGATGTATCACCTTCAGGTAAATTCTTGTTGTCCCCATAATGAATCACATTTATTCATTTTTTTAAATTGTATATCTTCGTCTCTACTTTGTGTGCTTGCGTGTGTGAAGTTGGAGGCATCTACACCGTCATCCAGACCAAAGCCCGTCTGACCGCGGAGGAATGGGGGGAGAACTATTTCCTGGTGGGCCCTTACGTGGAGAGCAACGTGCGCACTCAGGTGGAGCTGATCGAGCCCACCAACCCCGTGCTGAAGAGAACCATTGACAAGATGAACTCCAGTGGGTGTAAGGTACTGCCACGTGCACGCGGTCAACACGTAGACGCCTCGGGAGTTAAATTCGCACATTTCACCCCGAGGAATAGTCGGGAGGGTTTATAGGCTGAGATTCTGCAATTTTTGGTAAATGTGAATTACTCTTACAGACCCGGTTTAAAGCTCGGCCCCTCTTTCATGCATATAGGCCGCGTCTCTAAACCCAGTGACATTTCCTCTCAAAGGTTAGAGGTTGTACAAGTGTCTCTCTGTCTCAAAAAAACCCACACACTCCAGAAATAGATGGTCAGTGTGTGCGCGGCCGTTTTGAAGCTTTGTGCTGTGTCACTCTGAGTACAGTGGAGTTCTGGGTCAAGGCTAACGGAGGGGCCACTTTTTAAAGCGCAGCCTTTTCAGTGAACTTTATCTGGTTTGCATTGAACCACACAACCTTTAGTCGGGAAGCGCAAATGCACGTTACAGATTAATGCAAAAAAAAAAGAGATTTTGGGGTAATGCGTGGCATAAAGAAGTCAAGTTCATTTGACAACTCTCACTTTTCTCCATTTTTTTTTTTTTTTTCTTCCCTGCAGGTCTACTTTGGACGCTGGCTCATCGAGGGAAGTCCCTACGTTGTTCTGATCGACGTTGCCTTTACCGCCTGGTCTCTTGACAGCTGGAAGAGGGAACTGTGGGACCTCTGTGACATCGGCGTGCCGTGGTTTGACCGCGAGGCCAACGACGCCGTGCTGTTTGGCTTCCTCACTGCCTGGCTCCTGGGAGAGGTCAGCAACAAGGCAGAAGAACTTCAATAAAGCACAAAAGGAGAAATTGAAGACTGTGCAGAAAGGAGACGGATAGAGCCGTTGATCTCTCTGTGTATCAGTGTAATCCATATCACCTCTGTTTTCTCCCATATGTCAGTACGCAGCCCAGAGTGAGGAGCCCCCGCACATCGTGGCCCATTTCCACGAGTGGTTGGCCGGCCTGGGCTTAGTGTTGTGTAGACACAGACAGCTGCCCGTCGCAACCATCTTCACCACCCATGCCACGCTGCTGGGGCGATACCTGTGTGCCGGAAGTGTGGACTTCTATAACAAACTTTCAGAGGTGCGTGTCCCTACTGTGTGCATCACGCAGCATTGTGATGACGCAAAAACGAAACGATAGAAGGTGGAGATTTAACAGACCAGACTGATCAAAAATAAATGTACACTTCGTCAAACCCAACGTTTCTCTCCCGTTTGTGTCCCTTCAGTTCAACCTGGATAAGGAAGCAGGCGACAGACAGATTTACCACCGCTACTGTCTGGAGCGGGCGGCTGCTCACTGTGCTCATGTCTTCACCACAGTGTCACAGATCACAGCCATTGAGGCGGAGCACCTGCTCAAGAGGGCACCAGGTGTGTGGAGGTGATTTTAATGGTCATCTGTCACTGGCCAGACACGGCAGGCCTTGGCTGTGCAAGGATGTCTATGTATTTCTTACTGAATGTTTCAATGCATTGAGCTTGTCATTCACCATTTAATGCCCTTCACCGCTCTCATTGCAAACAGACATCGTCACTCCTAACGGGCTCAACGTGAAGAAGTTCTCCGCTGTGCACGAGTTCCAAAACCTCCACGCTCAGAGCAAGAATCGGATTCAGGAGTTCGTCAGGGGACACTTCTACGGGTCCGACACGCATCGCTGAATTGCATTTCATTGTAAGCGCTTCTCTCATTCAGCCACTGTTACATTTAGTTGTTTTTTTTTTGTTCGACCACCAGGCACCTCGACTTCAACCTGGACAAGTGCTTGTTCCTCTTCATTGCCGGAAGGTATGAGTTCTCCAACAAAGGAGCCGACATCTTCTTGGAAGCTTTAGCCAGACTCAACTATCTTCTGAGGGTAAGCGTGCGGTTGTGCGGACGAGGACAATGGTGCGTCTTGGCTGGCGAAAGACGCAAACCCACATTCCTGTACGGTCCGACTGTTTCAGGTCAATCACAGTGACGTGACCGTGATTGCGTTCTTCATCATGCCAGCTCGGACAAACAACTTCAATGTGGAGACCTTGAAGGGCCAAGCAGTCAGGAAACAACTCTGGTGAAGATTCTTTTCTTGTTGAAGCAGCAAAAATGCTCCACTCACCCACATGGAAAAGTATTTAGAGATGATCTAATAACCCGTGCGTTGTCTTTTTGGTGTTTGTTTTCCCCGACAGGGACACTGCTCAGACTGTGAAGGAACGTTTCGGAAAGAAACTATATGAATCACTTCTAGTGTAAGATAATAAACGTTAAAAAGGTTTATTAATGCTCATAAATTATCTTTTTACAATCCCTAAAACATGTTGTCTTCATCAGTGGGCAGCTGCCAGACGTGTCCAAGATTCTGGACAAGGACGATTTGACCATAATGAAACGCGCCATCTTCGCGACTCAGAGGCAGTGCCAGCCTCCGATCTGCACCCACAACATGCTGGAGGACAGCGGCGACCCCATCCTGAACTGCGTCCGCCGCATCGGCCTCTTCAACAGCTCCGCCGACCGCGTCAAGGTGAGGGCGGCTGTCTGCAGTCCGTAAACGGCCGCAAAAAATGTACGTGATGCCAGCGAACAGATGAGTTTGCGTTCATACGGTGGGGGTTTTGTTTTCTCGTGTTGTGGCCGAGAATCACCGTTTGTTGCTTCTGTTTGCTGTTACTCCGGACACCAAATGGCTTCTTCCTCCTTTTTTTAGATTATCTTCCATCCTGAGTTCCTTTCGTCTACCTCTCCTCTCCTTCCAATGGATTACGAGGAGTTTGTAAGAGGCTGCCACCTGGGCGTCTTCCCCTCTTACTACGAGCCGTGGGGCTACACACCTGGTAGGACTCTGACGAGGGGTATTTATGTGTTTGGGTTTATTGTGGAGTATTAACTATTAATCTGACCCTCAGCGGAGTGCACAGTTATGGGGATTCCCTCGATCTCAACTAACCTGTCAGGCTTTGGCTGTTTCATGGAAGAGCACATAGCCGACCCCTCCGCATATGGTGGGTTTCTCCTACTTTCTGTTTGACTCAAAGTTTCTTCTTTTTTTTTTTTTTTTAAAGATGCAAGGTGATAACCGCTGTTTCTTTTTTGCAGGTATCTACATCCTTGACCGTCGGTTTCGGGGGGTCGACGAGTCGTGTAACCAGCTCACGTCCTTCCTGTTTCAGTTTTGCAAGCAGAGCCGCCGTCAGCGGATCATCCAGAGGAACCGGACTGAGCGTCTGAGCGATCTTTTGGACTGGAGATATCTCGGCAGGGTCAGATTCAAAATCTCGCTGTCATATTTTCTTTTGTTCATTGCTCAAATTCAAGGTTGATTTAATGCTGTTTTTTATCCCCCTTTGTTTTCTGAACCAGTATTACATAGCTGCCCGTCACATGGCTCTGGCCAAGGCCTTCCCTGACGATTACATGTATGAACTTCATGAGCCCACCTCAGTAAGTTAACATGTGTGTTTGGATGAGAGAAACGCAACATCTTCCTACTATTTGTTGTACTAGTCTTTTGTTTCTCGCCCTCAGACCTCGGGTTTCCGTTACCCTCGACCAGCCTCCGTGCCTCCCTCTCCAGCGCTGTCCCGCCATTCTTCCCCCCATCACAGCGAGGGTGAGGACGAAGAGCGCTACGACGAGGACCTGGAGGCAGAAAAGGACCGGCTAAACATCCGCCAGCCCACCGCTCTGCCATTCAAAAATAAGTCTTCGGTTGTTCTGGGGGCCAATGGAAACGGTGGTTTTGCGAAAAACTGAGAGCTGAATAGATTTATATATACATGCTGAACCTCACTAGTGAAACTGTCGCAATCGTTTTAAGTCATCTTTGTACTATATAGCTGTGTGAATGAGTCACATTTAATATCTGCCCGTTGTGAAATTTGCCTCACTGTCAGTGTCTTCCAAACCTGTTTGTACCTCAGAGTTTTATGAAAATAGCTGTTCGTTTGCTATTTTTCTGGTATTGTTTCAGTTCCACCAGCAGTGCAGCCAGTGATGTGATTTACTTTGAGGAGTAAATGCAGCAGCTAGAAAGGGCTAAATGACAGCTCGACATTCATCAATGGCTGACTTTTGTAGTGTTAACACCTGACAACACACTGTAGGTTTAAAACAATAATGGAGGATTATTTAGAGTAGCTGGGAGTTGTTTTTCTAATACTTGACGTGGGTCAGAGCAGGGATGGATTACAACCCTCCTTTATGTCAGAGGTTAATCTGGACTAACCAAAGCTAATTTCCCTGTTTAAGACTCATGTGACGACTGTCCTTTGCGCTTAGTACCAGTTCTTTACTTGCGTTTGGCCTAAAACTGTGATGGCGACAATGCAGAGCTTCGAAAAGAACTGTCCACCTTGTAGCATCTTTTCTCTTCTTTCTTTCAAATGCCTTGATCACTACACATCTTCTCAGAATGGAAATGTAAAACAAATAGCATCAGAAACCCCGTAAAACATTTTTGTTTTCTCATTCTGAGAATAGTTTGTGTTATTTCATCTTTGTTCTGTACATTATTGTATTGCAGCCATTCAGTGGCAATCACCAATTCACAAACCTCACCCTCTTTATCCGTCTGCTTCCTTGGTTGCCTGTTTCAAAAAGTATTATAATAGAGGTGTGCAGGGGAATGAGGTGCTAACAATGTTTTTGGAGAAAAGACGTAAGAGATGTCGGAATTTGTCAAGACTCTAGGCTTGTTGCAATAGAAGAGGAAAATGATGTGACCATGCACATACGCCCCCTCTTGAGAGTTTTATCTGTTACAATCAGAATAACTAATAAAGATAAAATGTATGTGTATAGCTATTGGTGTTTTTACAAATGATCACTTTCTCTTTTGTTCTTTGCATGCAGTTTATTGTAACAAACATATTCAAGGTTTTCAAGTAACGTAATGATCCAGTGACACCATCCGCACTGTTTTAACTGGATCTTATTGATTCGTCGTAGTAGTGAATCCTGCAGAGTTCTCATCTGTTTCAGCACAAGTAAACTCGGCCCCCGTGACCTTTGCAAACTAAAAAAAAGAAAAATTACAAAGGGTCACAGCAGAATTACTAGCATTTGACTTATTTGCATTTCATACTCATAATTGAACATTGTATGACACACTAAATCATTGCCCTCATGACTGGGTATTTTTCGATTGGGTCCTTCCACTCTCGTAAAGGACTCACCTAGTAAACTATTCCAGAAGGAGTTGTATGTTGCACTGCCGGTTACAGCTCCGAGTTTGGCTGGATTCCTCCTCACTGTGTGTACTGAAAAGCCATTTGGCCCAGTCACCTCCACCTCCACCACGTGATAGTCCCTTAACCTGTGGCGTGGAGAGGATGTGAGAGGACAGAAACGAAAAGGCTGCATGCACTCGACCTGCTTCTTAGGAGGACTCACGCTGTGTCGGACACGATCTCTCCCTGAACACCAGCAAAGCCGAGTGTTCCTGCTGCAACCGCCGCCGCTGCCATGGTGTTGACGTTGTTCGGAGCGAGCGGGCACAACTCCGCCACCGAGCCTCTGAATAAAACACGCCGGCCCTCTTGCTCCGTCCAATCAGAGAGGACGTCTCCAGTCAGCCGGAAGCAGGAAGGATGCTTGGACATTCTTATGAACAGAGCCTGAAAACAAGTCAAGAAAAACAGTTTAACACCAACATTAACACTTTCATTCATTCTCATTCTTTCATTCTTAAACCGCGTGAAGATGGGCCACCGCGTGCCTTTTCACACCTGCACCTCCCCGGTGTTATTGTACCTTCAAGGCTCCACTGTCATTCAGCCTCTGGATGTCCTGGCCTCCCCACAATGCGCCACTGGGGACGTAGAGTGTCCTGCTGTGCTGCCGAGCCGCCCGATGCAGCTTCTGGTTCAGATCAGGATCAGAAAAGGCAGAAGGAGAGCCCACCTGAGGGATGTGATAATTCTGTGATTAACGTTAAAAACTGCTGAAACTTTGTGTCCGCTCATGTGTTCTCCTTTTATGTAATTACATAGTTAGTTACATGAACATCCAATCCCTAAAATACAAAGTACCCAAAAGATTGCAATAACTTAAAGAACCGAAACACGGGATGCAAAGAAGAAGCCATTTTTATTGCCAGGTATTATTTTACACATACAGGAAATTGTTCTCTGCATTTTACCCATCCCACACAATCGACAATCTCTCTATATAACATTAAATAATAATAATACTAACATTAAATATTTCCTGCACCAACAGAGGAGAAGCTTACCAGGAAATGAGACCGAGACAGGAAGTGAAGGCCAAATTCCTTCACTATGTGAGGGTGGCACACCTCTACAATCACATCACATCGCCTGTGAAAAACATAGTTTTGCATAAAGGTTTTATAAAACTTCTTCATGCATGTTTTCTATGGCAGCACAGAGATCATATACAACACTAATGTATATTTATATCATGTGATTTTTTTTTTGTACCTGTCTGCAAACGATGATAGGTCCAAAAGTATGAGTTCATCGGGAACAAAACCTTTCAGCTTGTCAGGATTTCTGTTCCAAACAAAAGCCAACGTAAGACCGAGAGCATCTCCATCTTTAAGGATCCTCTCGACCAGGTATTGCCCTGAAGCAAACACACACACACACACACACACACACACACACACACACGTTATGAACATACTTAAACAAAAGACCTTGGTATGTCAGACAGTGTGTTTGAAGTACGGGAGGGTTCAGACCTAAATGCCCGTAGCCTACAACTCCAATCCTTTGAGAGAACGAGCTGGTATCCATGTGATTTACTGACCGAGGAGATGTCCTGGGAAAAGAACATAAAACTTATAAAGGCTTGAACGTAAACCAACACACACACATATATATACATGTGGTATCTACAGCAGATACGGTCAAAAGCATTGCTTCTATGCCCTATTGTTACCAGTACAACACCTGCTCTCCTCACCTGATAATCCCAAACCCGAGCAGAGCTTTGTTTCTCCCGAGAGCCGGACCGTGACTTCAGGACTCGAGGGAAAGCACAGTGCAAAGTCTGACTCAGAGAGGCCAGAGTTAATCATTGCTATTTCATCAAGCCGTGAAATGTGTCAAATGCTGAGCTCCTCCTTTATCAACTTCATCATCATCTTTAAACTTCAAATCCAGATGCATTCAGAATTTCTTATACTCTTGCGATTGTTTGCTTAAGATTTCCCACCTAAAACCTTTCATATAGCACATTTGTTGAAATATTTTTTAATTTAAATAAAATTGAGTGGTGTTGGAGTTTAAGTTGCTCACCTTGACACACATCAGTGAACCTTTTATCTTTGATTTTGCATCACCCAAAGTTTAGAGATAAGCACGATTTTCCCAAAGGAAGTCGCTTTCTGGCCATTTCCTCACTATTGATTTGTCTTTACCAACGATCAACCCGTTCACCAGTTAGAAATCAACCTCTATCGTGAGTTTTCCACAAGTTCAACTTTGGTCCTCGTGAGTTAATGACAGCAATAAATTCCAGCTGAAAAGGTGAAAGGTCAGACATTTGTCCAGTAGAACTCCAAGCGGGGAGAACATTGATTATCAGAGAGCAATTAGACAGCAAAGATCAGTCCACAGTTCACTGCCATGAAATGACAACTGACTAAGAGACGTGGCAGAGATTCCAGACGGAAGGGAACAAGACGAGAACTTCTGAGGATTATATGTGGCGACGGGATTGCAAAGACCGACGAAAGTATAAGGTGTCGAGAAGACAAGACAAGTTCACACCTCGACAGTGCTGACTCTGAGAAGATGGACATCCTTGAGACAGATGCCTTCGACAGGCGGCAGAGGAGAAACATGGTACGTGAAAATAATTTACTTATAAGTGGCCAACAGTTGTTTAACATACAAACACTTTCTCCATGTGGAAAAGATGAAATTCATAATAAGTCTAATTCAAGTTGTTACTGGTTTCCCCGTTTCTATCTGCCCCCCCACCTCCCCTCTATCAGTCCTGTGCTCTCCTCCTTTCTCTCTTGCCCTTCTTTTTGTCCGCAGCTCTGTTCTTCTACCTGTGGACACCTGACTCATCTGCATCCATCATGTCTGCAGGTGTCAAATCAGCACCGGTCCTCCTATTGGCTGCAGCAGTGCTGAGCTGGAATGGCGGTCAGAGTGTCCTCGGTGTGGTGGGAGGATTGATATTCTCTGCTGTTGGTGACTGCTGCTTAGTGTGGCCTGATCTTTTTCTGCCTGGTAAGAGTTTGCACAAGAGTTTGTCTCATCTCTGGCTATCAGACCGACAGTGGAAACGCCTCTCGGTGCATGGGGCAATAATTCCGGGGTCCAGAGTTTCAGTTGAGAAACAACACGATCGACTGGATTGCATAACAAGAAGTAAATGTACAAAATCAATATGAAGCTAAATCAGGTGATGGCGTTTGAGCCAATGCTTTCCGCGTCTTCTGCTCTCCACTGAGTGATTACTTAGATTCAACCAAAGCCTGCTAAAGCTTGATAGATCATCATGAGTCTGCAGAAAAACCAAAGTGTCTAGAACACTTGAAACAATGCGTGCAAAGTGTTACCATACTACCATACGTATACCAGAAAATATTTAGTGTGTTAAACGCAGTATATAGATAATACCCTGATGGCTACTACATCCTGGGACATTTTGCAGTATGTATGCCAGATAGCGTTTGACCCACAATCCTCAGCGCAGCAGACATATGAGCAAGAGGGTCAACGTTCAAGGTGCGTTGCTATGACGAAGTAGTATGTGCCAATTGAATGCACGCCTCATGCAGCAGTATGTACTTTGTAAATGTACTCAAAACAAAACGTATGCAATTTGGGATGCTGCTTTTGTCCAGTTTCCAGCAGATTTCAAATGTGAATACAGATTGTTATTATGAAGATTAGAGATGAGAAGCACAAATTGAGGCATTTTAAATTTATCTTGCGGGGTTTCTTTATAATTAGAGACCAGATTTGCATGGCCTTTTTAGGGTAATAGCCAGCAAAGATTTGCATATTGCAAATACTTGACCTACCTGCTATGTTTGTCCTTAACATCTCACCCATGCGTTTCAGGAATGGCTGCGTTCGGCGTGGCTCACCTGCTGTACTCATTCACCTTCCTCTCCAGTCGCTATTCGGCATATTCCTCCTCCTCCTCCTCTTCCATCTGGATTCGTTCTCTGTATCTGATCCTGTTCATGATTGGAGGTGGTTTCTACATCTACATGTATCCGTTTCTGCAGAAGGCGCCAGACTCGGGTGTACTGCTTCCAGCTGTCGGGGTGTACATTGCCTTGATTGTTCTGATGGGGTCATTAGCCATCAGAACCCGCAACATGGCAACGCTGTTAGGAAGTCTGGTCTTCATGGTGTCTGACCTGTCACTGGCTCTGCAAGTTTTCAAAGTGGTCGCACCGATGGAGCATGGTCACGTCGTTGTGATGGTAACATATTATTTGGCACAGCTGCTGATCGCCGTGGGCGATGTTAATGCAGCCAACAGCAATGACGACATTGCAAAATGGAAGCGGTCCTAAACTAGCCTCTTTTAATATTACAAATACTCACATTTTGAAAATCAACAGTCTACAAACAAAACTAAATTAAACCAAATAGTCTGTGATTTGTGCCAAAATATTTTAATTTTGCATGACATCAATGTTTATGGGTTGGTTGTGCATGTGGTGGTAATGTATTCAACATGTGGGCTGGCTATAATATGTATACAAATATACCTATTTGTTGTCTTTATAATAAATATGGTGTAAAATAAAGGATGAACATCATTCTTTCCTGATATAAGATACAAGTCAACAAAAATTAAATCACAATATTTGACCTCAAGCCTTCAGAAAAACCTGATTTACAACAATTAAAGATAATTTTCACATGTAACATTGGACTGGAGCTATTAATAGTTCAATTGGGAAACATTACATACCAATGATGGAGATTATTTTGGGAGAGTATTTGGTCTGATATTGTGAAGAACAAAACTGGACTAAAATGACATCTGGCTTGAAAGGTATTCTAGACTCTACAGGTCTACACAGCGAAATCCAGTTCCTGCATGCAGAATATGGACAGCATCGTTCTTAACAGTCAAAACATCCATGACCAGATCACGAATGTTCCATTACATGTTTGCACGCTGAAACAACACAGGTGAGGTTAATAAGACGTCAGCGATCCATCCCATTGTCGTCCAACTGTTGCCCGTGGAAACAGAGAAGCCTCATTCGCTCACAGAAGTCCAGTTCTTCCTGTTGGAAACAAAAGTGTGGCTTTAAATGAAGTTTTCTGGAGAAGGCCTAAACGTAAACCTAGACTATTGAACATTTAAAAACTAGAATTAAAAGTGTGACATCATGCAATAGCATTTTTTTTTAACATAAGAAAACCAAATTTGAGTTTTTAAATCCAAAAATACTTGAACCGGGTTTCTGCATCAGATTCAAGGACGGGACATACCTGACTCTCTTCTTTTCCTTGTAGCTCTCCTGACCGCTGTCTGAGTAACTCCTTCAGACCCAGAGCAGGATTCCTGCAGTCCTTGAGACCCTGTGGACAGTCCTCCACCAGACTAGCCAGATATCAGAAAGAAAGAAAAAGAGTGCAATTATCAATGTGAACCATGAATTGATGTCACTTGTTTGAGAAATAAAAAAGGGTCGACAGTGTTTCTTACCAGCAGAGGGCGCCGAGCACATGTTCATGGAGAGGCGAGTGTGGTGTGCGCAAAATAGATACCAGCTGCTGTACCATACCCATGGAGACAGCTGGGTCTGCAGGGCCGAGCAAACAGATAAAACATTAAAGACACAAAGTGAAACTATACAGGCTACATAGAGCAAAGAGAAGAAGAACATCACTCACTCAATGATGATTGAGCTTTTAAAGATGCCCCTTAACACAATTTAAGAAATGCAAAAACATAAGGAAAGCAATGTTTAAGTAGAGCCTGATGGCTTAAACATGAAAGAATGATTCTGGTCATTTCCACACAGTGAGTCACAGCTAATTGAAAACTGGTATTGGTGAAGGAGAGTTCCACAATGCCCTAATTTAACAGCCAAATAATATTAACTAACTAGAAACAGATGTGTTGTGACTCAACATAATGGAGTATATTATATTAACTATTTAGATTTTGGTTATTTTTATTAAACCTTTATTTAACCAAGAATGCCTTGTCGTTTAAAAAAATCTCCTATAAAGTGGTTAACAATGAAAGGCTAGAGGTCCCCTCCTTACTAAAGTTCAATATAAAGTTATTTTCTTATATTTACCTTTTTATAGTAATTAATCTCAGACTGAAATTAAAGTACTGTGATATTACAAGATGTGTGAATAAAAGGTTTTTACAACAAAACAAAAAAAGATCCAGAGTTTTATGTAAGAGGACTGTCCAGTTTTTATGCATCTCTCATTTGTACCTTTCTGTTCTGGATGTGACGTCAACAGGTTGACCAGAAGGAACGCCGACTTGGTCCTGAGCTTCTCGATGTCAGATTGCATGGCTCGCATCAGCACAGAGACTCCATCGTGGGACAAGAACGCCTGGAGTACTGCCTCCTGCTCCCGAATCAGACCTAGAGTCACAACCAGATACGGTCACGTCTCTGTTCTGAGGTGAACAGTATTCTGAACACAAAGCAACACGAATGCAGGAAGCATTACGATCCAGGCCAAATGCTCAACGCTCTCTCCGTGCCGTCAGAAAATCCATTAGCACTTTTGATAAAAATGCAAGTAAACACTATTAAGCAATGTGTGCTGTAGTTAACTTTTGCAGCTCTGTCTTAAGACACTCACACGACACAGCATAGAGGGCTTTTACTCGGACGGTGGGGTCTGGGTCTGAGTCCGTCAGCTGCAGTAGCTTTGGCAGCGCCCCGATGGTAAACAGGTGGACCTGCACCTCCGGCATGTTCTGAGCAGAGGAAGCGATGAGCTGGGCAGCACGCCACCTCAGGCCGCTTTGAGCGTGACACAGATACTGGGAGGTACACAGTTGCAGTCCACCAAGAGTCATTAGATCTGTGAGGTAGAGGAACATGGGTACACACTTAGGATGGAGCCAACAAATATAATTGACGTTCATCACCTCCATGTAGCTATTGGCTCTAGGTCCATTCTAACCTCCAAGTGCTAGGAAGAAAAAATATATAATACTAATTATTACAAACCTCTCGCATTGTCCAGGTTCTCACACAACTCAGACAGAATCTCAAAGGCTGTTTCTCGATCATCTCCATCCTTCTCATCCTCTCCTTCTCCCGCCGTTTCACTCGTCCCCACCTGGCTTAAGACGGCCAAGCACTGCTTTATCTTCTCCACTTCATCCATCTGCCCTTTGGAGACTTCTGCTAGAGCGTTTTTCAGCCACAATTTCCTCTGCAACAAAGAAAGTGTGCAAGTCAAGTAATGTTCATTGATTGGAATTACATGGAAGGTTGTCTTCGTTCATACAACAAAAAATTGGTCCAAAAGTCAAAGTTGTTCTTCTCAACATTGGAGATTTGAAAAATATAAAAATCTTAAAATGCTAGGAAGGGGAAAACAGTGAATTTATGCCGTTTAATGTAAAAATGAGTGATCACAATCAATAAACTAAAAGATGTCCACGGACTGACTCATGGATCTAATACTTTTCAGCTGTGCTTGTATCACAAACATGTTACTAGTATTTGTTTACTAAATACACGCTTCCTACGGTCCCCAGTGGTTTACGTTAGCTCAGGTGAGCAAGGCGCCCTGAAGCCCCCGGATCCCTCCCAACATCCAGCACACCCCTCACCTCCTCTGACATCGGCTCGACGGGCTCATGTCCCTCTGCGGCGGATCCAGCATCCACCGCCAGCCGCAGGACGCCCTGGAGGTTCGGCGGATATCTCCTTGTCTGTTTGTCTTCTGCCATGATGGGCACCGCTGAGATGAAAACCAGGCATAATAATAATAATGATAATCAGCGGGAAATGCGTTATTTAAAATGTTAATAACTAACGTTAGCGAACACACAAAAACAACGGTGTCTCATCACAAAACGTGGGTCTTAACACCACTTACCTTAACACGAGTCCTATAATTGGTGTGGAATCGATGGGCAAGCTCGCTGTGTCTTTTAAAGTATGTGAACTCCCCTTTAGACAAAGTACGCGAATGTGCTAGAACATTCAAGCTAGCGTTGATCCAGTAGAACTCACGAGTGGTAAGGAGGCCGCCATGATGTACCGTAAACATTGAGCTAAACTCGCAAGCAAAATGTTTTTACCATACTCTTTCCTTACTGGTAAGTAGTTTCAGTCTTAGATGTTCTATGCTGATTTAAGTCGACAAAAAATACAATATAGAAAAGAATGTACAGTATTACAATCAAGGCACTCAAAAGGCACAACAGCATTTCCCTCATATTATCGTGTTTACGGTAAATCCCTGACATACACACGCGCAAGCGAGTTCAGAGAGTTTCAGTGAAAGAGAGAGAACTACCTTCCTCGAACGGACAGTCAATTACAAAATAGCCGTTTTTAAAATCCGCCTCACCGCTATCTTTAATCAATTGAACGCAGTTCAAGGTCACGGGGGGCTGAAGCGGATCCCAGCTTCCCAGTAGGGTTCACCCTGGACTGGGTACCAGTCTATCATAGGGCAATACTAAAATATGTTAATATGTGTGTTAAAAGTCTGATAAATAAGAAAAATATGCATAAAACATATACATTAAGCGAGTTGGCGGTTTAAAGAACGTAACAACTTAACATTAACTACTCCGGTCTGATTTATTTAAAGTATCCTAAAATTAACAATTTGGTATTTTTTTTACTATTATTTAAGTTTAACTGTAACATTTTTACGCTGCGTGTATTGTTATCATTAGTAGTGGTGGTCATCCTATTCTATATCTACATAACATTTCCCTCTATTGAAATAACGTTTTTGGTCTGTCGCGTGCAGGAACGTGGTACGACCGCCTCGTAGCTGTACCGGTACTCTCTTGAAGTTCCACTTGTCTTTGGTTTGCCTAACCATCCAAGATGGCGGCGCTTCTGGGACTGCGCGCATGTTTCTCCGGTAAAATGCTTTAATATCTCTTAGTCACCAACTCCAAATGCATATTTGTGTATTCATAACACCCGAGTAGTTCTTCCCACAATACAAACTGCGGTTCACCTTTGTGTAAACATTATCAATCTTGAAAAATTACCTGGAACTGTTTCTTCCTTGCGCACTGCAAGGTCACGTTACCAATGAGTTTTAGCAAACCTCAAAGCTAGCCTAGGAAGAGGAGTGTCCAATTATTATTAAAACTTAATTCGCTTTCTATAGTGTGATTAAGTACAGAAGCTGACTGTTTAAATAACTAGTAGATGTTTATTTGGAGGAGAATGGCTCCTGTTGAGTTTCCTGGTATTAAGGGTCTGCTAGCTTAACGGCAAGTGCTGCAGTGCTTCGTTTAGCCCATTGAAGGTCTTCTTATTAAGCATATGCAACTTAATAGTATGTGAATATTTGTTTGCAAACATAATGGAAACTCTTATTTACACTTAACGTTA